CCAAATTTCTTTACGTATCAGGGATGGCTTGATAAACACGGTCGCATCATATATAAATAAAAGACAAACTGGATGCCTTACACTGTACAGCACTTCATTTGATCAAGAGTATGTGACATGGACCTTTATCAATCATAATAGCGCCCTCTATCATCAATTTTGACTCCGTCGGAGTGTTGAAATGACGGAATGTTATAATTGGTATCATTAATGGGTGATGGGGTTGAAACCATTTCTCACAACAATTGCTTATAAACGTGTTTTTTTTGGGGGGGGGGTGGCAATAAAAAGTTACTTCGCGAAGTTTCAGAACGATGGCGTCATTATACTGCAGGGGCGGCGGAACCGGGTGGTGGGGAGGGGGGCACTTCCCCCTCCCCCCAGATTTTCCCAGGCCAACAAAAGTGCCCCTCTCGCGGTTATATTGTGCCCCCTCGAGATGAAAACAAAACTGCCCCCAAATGTTCACGTTTAGATCGCACTACATATATAATTGTCTCCTCTCTTGTAATGCAAAACTGCCCCTCAAAAAAACACAAGTACCCCTCTCGCATTAACAAGATTGTGCACTTTCTCGAGATGGAAAACTACCCCTCTTAAGCACAAATACCCCACTCTAAATAGTAAAATTGTGCCTCTCTCGAGATGGAAAATTGGCCCCTAACAAATAGTAGCGCTCTTCACGCGAATAAAATTGTCACTGAACTGGCCATCCAAAGCAGCAGTACAGTGCCCCTCTCGCGATACATAACTAGGTTATAGCAAAATGAACGGCGATACATAACTAGGTTATAGCGAAATGAACGGGACCATATCTTTCCCCCCACTTTCACACCCACGGAAGGTGCCCTTTTTCTGAGCAAGTGCCCCTTTTGGTGTACCCCCCCCCCCCCCCCCCCCCCCCCCCCCCCCCCCCCCAGTTTGAAAGGCGCTCCGCCGCCCCTGTCATACCGGAAGTTATTGTTGGGAGAATGTGGGGGGAAAATGATAAGTTTCTGCGTTTTTTTTAAATTAAAACACTATACCATTTTGGATCATTGTTGCCACAATAATGATGTCAGCAACATTATCGAAGATGGGCATCCTTATGCTGTGACGTCATCAAACCCGAAGGTAGTTGTAATCAATGCTTACACATATGCTTTCGTGCTATTTATTATTTTTCAAGAATTAATTCTTTTCACTTACCTTGCATAATGTAACCTGTCTAAACTAAATCAGTATTCTTTTGCACTTTTTTTAACTGATGACGTCATAAAATCAGAAGTATTTTGTAAATAAAATGAATAATGAAATGTATCTATCCCAAAAGGATGCATTTGCTCGAATTAATAAATAGACTGAACAAGATCAGATTTTATACTTTCCCTGTTTTGCATTATTGCAATTGGACAATTCGCGTCCCATCACCCTGCGTTTGTCTCCCCCCCCCAAAAAAATCTAGTTAGAATTAAAACTGAACATGTTGCTATCCAAATGCTTTTTAATCGTTTTCTTTATAGAAGAATTTAGGTAAGTTCTTTTAAGCCGTACAATGCTTTACATTTATGTAATGATTTGACTTATAAAGTTATCTGAGGTAATCCTTATTTACGATGTTTCCTCTTTTTTATTTTTAGTATACATTAATTAGCGCTTTACAGTTTATTATTGATGTAAATGCTTGTAAAAAATGAATGGGTTGTGGTTTTTTTCCTATATTGGATCTATTTTGTCGTGTTCGCCACGTTATGCACGCACCAGAAACGCGAATTCGATGAATGTCACAGTTAGAGCGCCATCTTGTTTACAAAATCTCATTGAGAGTCTCCACAACACCCAAGGGCAAAACGACACTTCAAAATACAAAATTATTAAATTGTTACATCAAAGCATTGGAAGGTCATGGCATTCTCCTTGTATCAGTAAGATAGCTGGAGTAAAAATCTGATGCTGTGGCTTTTTTTCTTTCATCAGATCTTCAAGTCCCGTAGGGTAGTTTCTTCTAGTCTTGACAGCACACAAGGGGCATGCACACATTAGCAAATAATGCCCTAAGGAACGACATCTTTAAATCCAACCAGGCGTCGTTTCTGTAAAACGCAGCAAAGACTTTAAGCCGTCCGAGGTGGTCATGCTACGTTATTATAGGATCGTTGTGTCATCCTCTGCTAACACGAACACCGACTCGGAGACCGCCTCTAGGGACATCAGCCTCGACGGGGAAAGACGAGCTTCAGGACCCGCGGACTTATCTGCAGATTTCCGGTCAAGAAAAGCTCGCGTGTTTTGCCGGAGTCTGACTTGCAAGCACACGTCCAATTTACAAATACAACAAATGTTGTACGTCTTCAATTTGCAATTACATTTGGTAGACATTTTCTCACCGTCCGTCAGATCAGATCGCAGGTGGGTGAAGCGTACGTACCAGTGATTATGCAGTTCGATATTAGCCCTTCGCTTCAAAGAGCGGTGAAAAAAAAAACTTCATGAAACATTTAAACCAACAAGAGAGGGGTTATAGAATGATTTCGATGTGGATCAAGTACATTAATAGTGTCCTCTTGAATTTGATGATTTGATCGTGTTCAATACCTATGATTAGTCCGGGTAACTCAATGCTTGTTAATTGGTGTATCAAAATTAAAACATTAATTTCAACATCCTGAATTTCGCTTGAATTCTGCATTATTTTATGTAGAAACTGTATAATATGAAATTATTTTGGGTGTGAAGGAGCCGTTAAACGCATTTCTCTCATTTTAACCCAAGTCGATTAAATTCAAGTCAGTGAAACTGTTTGTACTAGGATTGATAAGCCCTCGATTCCTTAAGCAATATGCTAGCAATTCGTAAGATGGATTTTTTTGCGTCGGGCTGATGTAAATCAAATTAGGTTTTGCCCTTCAATTTTTAATTTGATTAACATCGACGCAAACTTCCATCTTACGAATAGTTAATGCTGTACCCGCTGCTATGTACATCAGATTCGAACCAGCCAACTGATACCGTTAGCTCGGTGGTCGAGTGGTAAGACATCTGAGTGATTTTTTTTCCAACTTTCACTCGGGAGGTAACACACTGAGTATACAGTGTTCATACGTCGGTGAAGGGTAAAACCTAATTTGAATATGCTAGCAATTTCCAGTGAAAGGTTTGGCCAGGTTGTAACAGGGATATTAGATAGGGTTAACAATATCGACACTTGAGAACAATTAAGCGTTCATAAAACAGATTATTTTCCTACGTCATTCTGGTTTATTTCGTCAGATTTACAATGTCGGAAAACAAGTTGTTCAATAGCCGCAGCATTGCTCTCAATGACTTATGCTTTACATTTAATAATAAATGAGACAAAGATGTTTCATGTCCCTTCGTTTATTTTGTAATATATCACCACCGTCGCTGCTATTGCTTCCAAATCGGCATATTTATAAAGCGTACACTGAAAAATTATTCTCCCTTTCTTTATCACTATGCATTGAGAATTGTTACTAATTATGCAGATGTCAAACACTTACTTGTGCTTGATTTATTAAAATTTTCGTCACTTTTTTGTAATTTCAGATAAAGAAATATCGTCCCAAGGGCTTACTTTATTTTCAACCACGTATCCTATAGTAAAGAGCGTACTGCAAGACCCTAGGACTGAGGTTGATTTAAAATTTAATACGTGTTCGGAAGCCAGCGGCAATAGAAATGCAGGAGCGGTCACTACTTAACTCTAATTAAAAATCAGTCAAGTTAGACTTTCAGACGTGAGAAGTCACGGACAGTCTTTGACAACATCAACTGTCCGTTTAATTATACGGTAAAATGATGCATCACTCCAGGGGTAGTGTGTAATTTCATTAGGGATTTCACTAATTTTATTAAGATAGTTCATTGCCATACACCGGGTCGCTAAACAGTGCAAAAAGATATGTCATCTCCAAGCTTAATCACTGATGGCGTAACTCTTACAGTATCGTCTTGACGTCTGGCTAGTGCTACATTCAGTATGGGGAATTGAGCAGCCAGATGACATGTAATAAATATTCCAATCAATATTGGTGGACTAACATTATCATTCAAAAGACGTTCAAATTAAAGGTTATCCCACAATGAGGCTGTACGGATAACCACAAGACTGTCTTTTACCACAGACATTTTTTTTAACTTTAAGATCGTCTTCAGAAGCCGAAAGACTGAGATGGGCGAGTTGATAAAAAAATGGGGTAACTTTTAATACAAATACTCGGCGGAGGGGTTCTGACGTAGCTTGTAGTTACTGATAGACTGGAAGTATACTAAGAGGAAAATCTATACAAAAAAGCAATCTTTTAAAATTGATTTAACGTGTAGAAAGTGTGACCTGGTTACTCAAGAAAGAGGCAAGAATTCCTTTCAAAGCGTGAGATCTGATATTGAATTAGACGTACACAGGATACCTGTCATTTAGGCCAACATCATGACAAAAAGTTTTAAACAGACATTAAACTTGAACAAATGGTACATAGTACATGTACATCCATAATTAGGCTGCCACTGCTACGCCTATTGACAAACATGTAGTACGGCGTATACAGTATAATGGCATCAACAATGATGGTCAATTGAATACAAATATATGTCTTTTATATAAAATGACCTAGCTCTGTTGCCTAGCATTACATTGTGTAAGTGAGATGTCAACCAATGTACATCACTGCACAGAATTTGCTTCAGTAAGTTCAGAAGCAAATCTTCGGTCATTTTGTTTTTTTGGTAGGAATGTTCGATGTTTTAAATAAATATGTTAACAACCGCGTATCTTCTAACCGCGGCAACAAAATATACAGGAGCTTTGAACTGTACATCCATGTGACTTATTCTAACAACGAATTAAAAAAAAATCATCTCATTGAATGATTACATTTTGAATAATTCTTCAGCCAACCATGCAGTCAATTATGAAGTCGGTCTATGCGGCAAGGCTTGTCAAAGGAATGGTGTCAACTGTCTTGTAGGAATTACGTATCTGTCTTGAAGATGTATAGGCCTCATCATTACTCGTCTTCGAATGCGTAGTAGCCCGGGTCTTGGACCACATATTCGCCATTACCAAGCATCCTTTTACGGAAGAGGGTGCCGCCGAAATGGTAGTCGTGTTGCTCGGGTCTCCTGTTGAGCGAGCTCAGTGGGCGCCTTTTCCGCTGCGTTTCCGGATCGATCTCCCTGTCAAGGTTGTACTGTTGTCTGAGACCGTCTAGTCTTGATGCGTGGACTTGTTGACTGACTAGACACCAACAACACAACATGAGCAGCACGAGCATGGCCTTGGCTTCCATTATACTCTGAAACAAATGTTATTATACAAGATATCATGTCAAAGTTACGATAATACAATGTAGAGCGTGTATCTACAAAATGGTGAGCCAAAATACGAAGGTGATGAAATTTAACAATAGGGAGGTTTCGCAAGCGAACGGATACGCTTACACTTACGTTTAGCTATCCGTATCCGTTTTTTACTTACGTGTAGCGAGCGAGATATGCGTGTCGTCTGCACGTATGACGTCATACGCCACTCACTATCCGCTAAACGTGCAGACGACACGCATATCTCGCTCGCTACACGTAATTAAAAAACGGATACGTATAGCTAAACGTAAGTGTAAGCGTATCCGTTCTCTTGCGAAACCTCCCTAATGTCAAAGTGGCTCCATCTGAAAGAATAATTGATTAGCATGGGCGCTGAAAGAATAATTGATTAGCATGGGCGTCGCCAGGATGGGCCGGGGCGCTTGCCCCCCCCCCCCCCCCCGGAAAAGCCACAAAAAAGCAGAAAAAAAAGAAGAAGTCGAAAAAAAGAACTCATATTGCTGTTAATTTAAAACCCTAACTCCCTAGCACGATTTAGGAACCATATCTATCCTGGCAAATTCCAACACCATATATGAAACTGCACACACATATTCCTGACTTTGATTCTGGAAGTGTGCCAACCCAATGTAAAAGACTGTCAGTTTAGGGGTACTGTACCCATCCTGACAGATTCCAACAAAACATGCCGTTGGGGTTTGATGGGTTGAGTTCTGTTAGCAACTTTTAATTAATTGAGATTTGTAGGTTTGCATGGTGAACATGAACAAAGAATGGAAGGTTGTCGGTAAAACCGTGTAAACAATATTTCTATGTGCTCTGTTCGTCATCAGGAGACTGGTTAATTACATCATACCTAATGCTAACCCCTTTTTCAGTTACAAAAAAAATTAGTAATCGAATTTAAATGAATCATATTATTAAGATTTGTTTTCTCTTAAATAAATCACTTCCGAATTACAACTGCAACAGACATACAGATATTGCACAGGGCTAAACTGTCATACAATACAAAAAGAGACAAAAATCTTCGCTGATGTAAAAACAAAATAAATTGAATTACGACTCTTTCAATTCTGAATAAACACCGAGTTATCTTTTTGCAGCATATAAAACACTGTAAACAATTTATCTTATCCCAAATAAAGTGTAGAATCTAGAGTAATTTGTTTTGGTGATTCTACACACTGATGTTGCGTGAGATGTAAATATTTGTAAAAGATTGTTTAGCTGGTCCAGGAAAAGTCCAATCAAAAACAAATAAATCGGAATTGCACAGATAGGGAACGCATGCACCAGTTAATAATCATGAATATCAGTAAATCTTACATTTCGTGGAAATGTCACCCCGCAGTACAGTCCTGTGGTCCCTTTATGAAGTTACAGCTCTCCTGTCAGTACAATAAACGATAACAACTAACAAAAGTGAATTATTTGTAGCCAAGACGAAGATGCAAACTAACTTACAAAGGTACTGTCTCATTTCCAGAGAGTGAAAATTTACAATCTGGACAAGAACATTTAAAGTTACTTTCGCTACAGCGACTAGATTGAGATTTTACTCGAACCTTAACTGAAGTGATTCTTTTGAAAGTTTATTTCAATCTTTGTTTCACTCTTTAGAAAATAAGAGAACACTTTTTGCACCCCTAGCGGTTGCCATCGTTACTTTTCAGTTCATCGGATAGGTTGAGGTGTGTGTGGGGGGGGGGGGGGGCGGAGGTTAACCTCTATGAAGCTACAGAGGTGGGTTGGGAGGGGGTCGAACAACCAACCCAATTTTGATATGGAGCGATTTCAATATTTAATCATTTTGGTTTTTAAAGTTTGGAGTGTTCCATCGAAAATGGATTATTTCTTTCACCTGCTATTTTCCAAGCAATTTGAAAGTTATTCACTCTTAGTGATTGAGACATCGAAAAAATAACATCTACCGACATTTGGTTGTTGAATTATTTCTTTAAACAATTTGAGCTATTTGCAGCCCGATAATAATTCGGCTCTTGTAAATAGGCGGTCCTTTTCAGTGGGTTTCAGACGCCCAAAATCGAAAAAAAAAAAAATATACAAATCAAAATTTCGTAAGAAGAACAAAATCCATAATTGAAGAGTATTCAACTTTAAATAAGTGTAAAAGAATTTCTTCCATGATTTGATATCGTTTGTCCTAATAGAACTTGTACCTCACATTTCCAAATTTCTTAGATTTGTTCCATTTTGTTAGTAAAAAAAACGCACTCCGCACACTATAGACGTTATATCCAAACTTGTGGACGTTGCTGAGTACCGCCGTAGAAGAAGTAGAAATAGGCCGGCTACGAACCCGGACCATAGAAATTATCACCATCTTTTTCTTAAACCGTATGCTGCCGTTAATTATTAAACATTTCCTTCCCCAGCTGGTACTTGTACATTTTTGATCTCATCCATTTGGGAACATGTGACAAAATAAAGCTATATAGATGCTTTCCATTTCAAATATTAATTTGTCAACACTCTGCAACATGAGCTGCTCAACTATAGCAAACAAACATTACTGTTGATTATTAGTTAACATTATTGCAATGATGATGAATCACAGGTATCCGGCTGTTATACGTTGGTCAAAGAATTCCACATATTATACACAGCAATCATCATGATTGAGTAGGGAAATGTTTCATTAGTGCCGTAGTCATCAATAGGATAGCATTCCTAGAAGTTTCTTTCGGAGGCTTATATACGTCTATTGATGATGGATTGGTCGAATTAAGCTGAATAAATAATGAGCTGTTTCTTTCAACAAATTTGTGTTTAATAATTGAACATTTTAACGTAAACCAACGAGTCACACATCCCTGACTGCATAATTGCGGAAGTGCAGCACAATTAAGTAGAGTAAAAGGTTTGGGTGTTATTTAAGGGAGGCTTATACCAAATTTGTGACTGTATTATGCTTCCGACCTCAAACAGCAGTTCGTCATGATGACGGAGTGGGGTTTACTAAAGCGTTGTTAAAGCAACTGAAATGGTCAGGCTTGATTAGCACAAGGCTGTCATTATGGTAATCGTTCATTGCCACAAGGTTTGTATGCTTCTGGACGCTGGTATATATTTGCCGCTGACAAATTATCAGAAAGACTAGCGTCTAATCGGAACTTTGATAACTAAACTTACTTCAATCAGTTTTTGATGGTTACTGAGGCTCCTCCAAAACGAAATCCGGAAAAAATAATTCTGAAATGAGAAAATATTTAAAACATTGGTGAATGAAAGAAAGAAAGAAAGAAAGAAATATTGATCATATTTTAAGACATCATAAACTTACGAACTGATGTGATAAATCCTGCTTAAAAATGCTTCACGGAGTTGACGTACCGCCATTATTTTTTATGACATTTTAAAGCTTGGAATCTTAACTGTATCCCGGTAAGTATATTGGTTTGATTTTCAAAAGGGTTTTGAAATAATTTATGTTCAAATAAAGGCATGTCAAGAACAAACTCAACCAATTTTAAGACAAATCAATCATGCTCATTTTTTTCTAATGTTGAAATGGTTCATCATGTTCATGATGTGACGATATCGTTGCCTTTTACTTCATGTCTTCCTATTCGTTTCGATCCACGTAGACTACACCTTAAACGGATTCACAATATTGTTCTTATTTTCAAGTTCAATTTTGTATCCACGTGCAAGTATGTACCTATTGAAAAAGCGCGCTCAAAGTGTGACTCGAGTTTGCATCGGATGTACCGCATTATCGAGTTTCTTTGAAATCGGTTGAGTTTGTTTTCGACATGCCTTTATTTGAACACGAATAATTTAAAAGTCTTTCAAATATCAAACCAATACTTGCCATGTAGGGATAAAGTGAAGATTCCAAGCTTTATAACAATAAAGGCGGTATGTGTTTCCGTGCGAGTCTACTATAGGCAGTCTACAGTCTACTATAGGGTTTCCTGAACTATCTGCTTCTTGATTTATTACAAGTTCCTCCACCCCATGAATCCTTAATTGGGAAGTAACGAAAGATCTTGTATTATGACATTTTCTACGCGTGTATAGGCACGTGTGAGTGATATGGGTGATTTGAACCATTCTTCACGTTGCTGCTCATCTGTACAATAAATAAATGATTTTGCCCAAAAGCCAGATTAATATGGCGCCGGTGGAAAGCGGGCTTCCGATAGAATTCATTAAGACGATTAGGAGTTTCCTTTGCATTTGGTTCAGGTGTTTATGTTAACTGGAAATTGCGGTTTGGTAAGGGAGGGCCTTGTGTAAACATGGCAAAGTCGCAGGAACAGACGAAGGACGAGAAAATATCTGGCACTTTTTTTTCAACTGTTTGAGATTTTAATCCCCAAATTATCATTAAACGAGACTGTACTATATCAAAGGAAATGCCGACTTTATTGAGATTTCTTGCGTGACGACTTTAATACAAACATTATATTTTGCAGTTGAAGTCAAGAAATGTCCTCAAAGTTAACAGGTAGCCTATGCCACTTTATATTCCAGTCGTTCTAGCGTTTGAACAGCTGCAACAAAGAAATTTCGGCTTGCCCCAAAAGCTTCGACTTTTTAAAATATCATGCTTTCATCTTAATAGACCAACTTTTTGTTCTCATGATGCTTTTACTTTGCTTTTGATGGAACTATATGATATTGAAATTTAACAATTTTCAAAATGATGAAGTTTATGATTAATAAAATTAAGTGAAGTTTTGCGTGGCTCATTATGATCGCTATTTTTTTTATAAAAAAGAAAGATATAAACAAAATCAAACTCTACAATCACAAAAACTCATTTAAAATTTCGGAGAAAATGACATTTCTTTCAGTGAAACGCGGTTATCAGTCATGGAGGCCAGACAAGTTTTATAAAAGTTTCCAGAGAATCCAGTTGATTATTTATTACATCTTCATGTTTTTTTCTTACCACCTTTGGTACAGAAACCGCCAAAGCAACCGACATATTGCTTAAATCAGTCCGGTAACCCAGCCAGCACGCTTCGTCAAACCAACCAGGCAATTAGCGACGCGTATACCCTACCCCGTCCGCTCAAACGCTCATCGTTAAAAGGGGTTGCACTCCGGAAACTTTGAAGTGGTGATCCGATGACGTACTTGACCAAATCAGGTGAAATTCAGCGAATCCTATATAGCGAAGACCGCTGACAGTTCGCCATGTCATTTGATAGCCGTGATACATCCACTAGACATCGGGCCAGATTGGATCCCGTGTCCACGACTCAGGAAGTTTTCTCCTTGCCACAACTCCTGAATCAATTAAAAATGCGACTGGAAAGAGACTGACCCCTCTTGGCCTTCTTGAAGAGTAATTAACGTTCGTGGGGAGTCCGACGTAAATGGGGATGTTTGCCTCTCGCTTTGAATTCGCTAGTTACGATACTTCAGTTGTTTTGATCCATTTCTGTCCTTTCCACGCTTAAAATGTAACCATAGTAATGAAGAGAGCAAAAAACAGCCATTCGAAACCGATTTCATTCTGACGTAATATTGTTATATGTTTTGAACAGGTTGTAGTTAACGAATTTACGCTGGCATGTGAAATACACTGAAAAACAATCACAGTTGTATTGATGTTTTGCGTTCAGAGTTGACTAGAACTCAGTTCCCTTTCTCCACTATTGAATTACTGAAATTGTAGGTCAATTACCAAGGAACGTATCCCACAACGGGAGCTTCTTATCATATTGACTAATTCTGAAAAAGGACAGTCCCCCGTCAAATGTTGTAATCGACCTTTGATGTCTCCGTAATTGAATAGACCTTTTATCCTTGATTTCACCTTGTCAAACGCGTCGGGTATACCGGTCATCTTCCATCGCGTGTGTGAACTTTCTCCGTGGACAAGGTTGAATTTGGACGCAGCGTGTCAAAATGGAACGTGACAAGAATCAACATCTAACATTCATGTGTTGATAACATGGACCGTATTCTGAAAGCAGCTGCGTGTAGACGCACTTCTTCAAGTATTCCAATTCGGAATGTGCAATCAATTCGCACTCAGAACTGACTGAGACTAGAGTGTTTTATTGGGTTAGTTCTTTTGTTAACAGACCCATCCCCCCTTTTAATGATTGATACAGCGCCAGGCGAATTACATAGCTTGAATATTCCAAATTGAACTGCAAACCAGTATTTCGACCGTATGTGTTTGTACCTATTCCAAATCACGAGTGCCTTATAAACACTGATTTTTAAGCTCTGACTGAAGCTTCTATAAGTCACTTGGATGTCGATCGGTCGGTCGGTCCCCGAAAATTGACCAAAAATATTTTACCAAAATTGAGCAAATGCCATGCCGTCGTCAGTGCACTCTAAAAATTGTTTGTAACAATTCGTAAAGCTGTTGATCAATTTTTTTGTAAACGGAGGCAAGATATGTGCAGTAAGGTTTTTATAGTCATGTGGTATTTTCTGTAGTGGATGGACGGTATCCAGAAATGAAATAAAAATTGACCAAACATAAAGTGTTCCATATGTGCCATCGGCGTCGCATTTTTCGCCAGAGCTTAATGTGCACTCGCACTTGTTTTTTGTTTTCCCTACATTTCGACGTTTGGCAGGCCATCTGTGAGTGTTTCGTAAATGAATTTGTTTTATTGCGTTGTAGAAACATACAGAGCATTGTGTGTCGAGAAATACTCGGCACACACTTCACCCTCGGTTTTGTGCACACACTGCACCCTCGGTTTTGTGGAAAGTGAGTTTTTTTCAGGGTTGCTTCAGCTGTTTCTGCGAGCCTGCTGATCAAATTGAGTGTTATTAGATCACTTGGCCTTCCGACTGGTTGTCAGTAAAACAAGAGTACGGAGTACAAGTACCAATGTCAGGCACACCGATTGCCTGGGCCCAATTATCTTTGGGCCGTGGTCCAGACAAACATTTTAAACGTGAACATCATTGTCCTTCCTAGCAATTTCAACAAATTCATAATTCTTTTTAATCGGCGCGGAACTGCATCATCAACTGAGGGAACACTTCTGCGATATTCTACTTCTCTATGGGAAACATACATAATTCTTTTTTAACTGGATCGGAATTTATTTTAACATTGAGGTAGTTCGTATAGCCAATCCTACAAGCTTTTAAGAGTACACGCTATAAGTGGTTTATTAATAGGTTTGAAAATAAAATTGCAAAGACGGTTTTTGTGTAATTGGAGACTCCACAGAACCGTGGTAGTCACGCTAAATCTGTTAAATTAGAGCATCATCAATCAGTGCAAAAGATGGGTCGAGACAGGAGTTTGACAAATTTAGCTAATTACAGTCCAGCATATTATTTCCTTATCCGCGGAAAACAAGCGTAACTGTTTTTTTTTTACACGCGAAAAGGGTCAATATTAATTCTTCGTTTATAGTGTAGATTTATAGCCATGCCGAAGCTGTTTCATCTTTCGGCGTGTCCTTAAGTGTTCCCGTCAATCCTATGCCTCATATGCCAGTCGTCCGTTATGCATAATTATACCTTCTCGTGTCAGAAATGACGGGATATTTTTGTAAGATAACAGATCGAGAAGCAGACCACGTATGAACTAATTCATGAATTTTAACACACAGCCTGAGGTATAGCAGATGTTATCTGCACATTACCCTGCGAGCAAACTCATATCGCGTATCAAATCATGTCACTTCGCTACATTGCATTAGAAATCAAGACTTATTACCAAGCTTCGGCAAAACTGTAGTTAGTCACAGAAAAAGATGGCAAATTGTAGAATTTCATAGCAATATCCATTTCCTTTTCACAAATTGTATTTCGAAAACTAGTCGAGATTTTATAGTATTTAGGTCCAGGCAGTTGCGTCTTCCAACGATAATAGGTCTAACGTTTACGTGAAACTGCTCTTTTTGTTGTATACAAACAAGAATGATATTTTCAAAATATGAAATGACTACGATCCTACGATTGCTAGTGGTTCCGTCCTATTTCAATCTATTACAGTTATGCAAAGGTAGCACATTCAATCTAGCTAAGTGGTCAGCACAGTTTGTTCATGCCTAACCCTACAGCAGAAATAAAGCATGGACTATTGTACAACAGTGGGATGCTTTGCTTCATTCTCAGTGATTTCGTCGGACCATTGCTACATCCTCTCCGTTTAAATAGAAATAATAGGATTGCTAGTAAAAGGTCCAAGACATTTCACCTACAGCGATCTTTTGATAACTCCATATTTTCTAAAATAGTCGTAACACTAATGCAGGCCAAAAACTTACGTATTTTTGAATGAAAACTGTCTTTCAGGCTTCCTACTGTTTAAAACGCAAAGTATTAAACCTACTAAGTTAAATGATCGAAAGTCAATTTACCTTGAAAAAACGGCTGTCGTCTGGTTACCAAGCACTAATCTCCGTGTCGCGTTGATCACTACCTTGCTGTGTGCTGTTCAAATAAAGTAGACCCGCTATATCTACACCCTGCGACGCCTACTAGGGAAAGACCAGCAACCAATCACGTCCAACCACTCTCTTTCTTGGGTTTTTGTATTTCACCTTTCATCGGAAGTCTACTGACGTGATGTTCATCAATATCGAATGAGGGGCAGATTTTTTTGTTGTTGATTGCGTGGTGAGGGATGGGTGTTGTGAAGGGTGTTGTGGGCCGTGACGTGTCGAAGTCGTCGTTATGATGTCTACATAAATTATACAATAATAGATTCATTTCATTTCTACAGGTTATACCATGTCTCGGGTGCGTCTAGTGAACCAGTGGGTAGAGTGGTCACGAGATAAAGTAACACTGACGTCGACATGAAAGTTAATTACTTTTTAAACATTTTTTCCCTATCATGGAACTCATGCGCGCCTGCAGCGCTATTATCGTTTTAAGTTAATCATTCTCAAAATGGAGACTACTTGTGCGCCAAAACTTAATCACAATGAACCTTTTTTAATTTGCACGAAAGGCTTGATGATTTAATATACATTTTGCACAATCTAAAAACCCAAATGAATAACAATGTTTATTTAATAATTGTGGGTGAACCGAGCAATCGAGCATTGCACTTGCATCGTTAAACGAGTTGCCCCAATTAAGCATCTCGAAAATGTGTGTATTCGATGTCAATTTGTCTTATAGGACTCTTTGGTTGATTGATAGTAATCGTCCATTTGTGCGATTAATGTCGCCAGAGTTGCTTGGATGTCTGGCTATGCCAAGTGGTACTTAACTGAATATTTGCAACAACTCACGAATTGTAAAAGAATACCTGTCCACTGATGACTTTGTTCTAAATCACATCGCTTATAGTCAGAGTGACTAGTATCAGTCAAAACTCCACTTCCCCAATTTGTTTTTGCAATCGTATGAAAGACATAGCCACATCATTTCCTAATTTTGATGTAGAAAATGATTGTACTTTAGTATTGCACATAAAAGACATAGCCATAGCCCTTCCGTTTTGCCCAGCTTGGCGGAACTAATCTCTCCGTAAAATCAGCAGTGATTACTCCATATATTTGTTTTTAATAAAATCTGAAATGTCCTCAACATCCAGCGAGTTTCTTATTTCATTGCTTAGTAATGAATAATTCTTATTTCCAGTGACCTGCACAACAGATCGATAGATGGTAGAAAAATCACTTTGTTATCCGATCCAGTTCCTGCCTAAAGTAGTTCAGGGAAGATCAAAGACCGTGCATATAGCCGGGGTTATTCACCATAACAATTCCATTGGCACCATTGGTAATTGTCGTTATATAGGGTAGCATCCGCCCTCTGGCCGAATTTGTCCGGTCAACATGTCTTTGGCCATAGGGAATGGCTATCTGCAATACACCAAGCCTTCCGTAATCCATACTTGTCCTCTGCAATGTGCGACTCCCCATCTAGGCAAGCCATCCGGCAAAAGATATCAGATTATTGGAGTCATAAATACCGATTATACAAAATATTCCCTGTGTGGGTAACAGCAAATACACGTTGATATCTAAGCCAGTAAAGACACCTGATGCAATTTTGTTTTGAATTTCTCGACTAGGATCTAGTGTTCAATTTCTTGTCGACTTTCGTTTACCAATATCCAAGATGGTCTATACTGGAATCAGACACATTTTAAGCGTTGGTTGGTATCCACTGTACTGTCTCTAACTTGAACATCTGCAATCAATTAAAATTAAAAAACAATTAAGCCTCTACCACTTGGGTATTATTGTACAAACTGATACATTTGAACGCCCTTTTGAGTGTTTCTTTAACCCTTTCGTAGGCTGAAGTCCCTCTTTTCATTGCAAAAGATGAAGACATTGCTTTCCATTGCTTCCTCTTGAAGCGTCGACTGTATTAAACTTTCCACTTTATTCAAATGCCTCACTTCACAGAATGCCTCCACTTTTCCCTCTCAGTCTTGAACGAGGCTAAGAGGCAGGTGTTCGATACTAGAGTCCATCGATCACAAACTGTCGAAGCATCGATTCCTGGCAGATGCTCCCTGCTAACGGTGCTGAAATCCACGCCTAATACGCCTCTAATAGACCCTCCCCACATGTTTGGAGACGTAAGATTGGATACCTCATAACACTGTCACTACAGGTCAATATCAACACCTTCTGGTCGTCACTGAAGACAAGAACTTATAATGACGGTCAAGAGCTTTATTTTATGGGTTAAAGGCCCTCTGGGCACAGGAGGGCTTTGATATGAATTTCGACTAAGCTCGAAAAATCCTCTCGGAGTGAGACAAAGCACGAACTTGGTCTTTGGGGAGTTCGATATTGCGGTATCCTCTCAAACCTTGAAGGATTCTACATTTTGAAAGCATGGTGTGATCATCTTTTACAAAAAAATGCACGATACAATTACTTAATTGTTTATTTGAATGATGAAAATTCTGAGGAAATGACGGCCAAGAAAAGTGTGAAGGCTTAAGCTCGAAAATCAAATAGTGCTTACAAAACAGCCAAGTATAATACGAACAATTTGTCAAATTCCATTAAATATTTTGTTAACAGTCTGAGTTACTTACTTTGCGCCCTAAGAAAACGGAGTACAGATTTATCGTATAGTAAAAACACCGAAACGCAATCCTGCAAAACTCTAGCCGTATTACAATAAATTACCGTCGTCATAACGTATTCTTCAGACTGCTGTACGTGGGCAAAAAATAGAGAAATTCGTGACAGTGAATAAGAAGTGAATCTTAATTCAGCTGGGCCTATATAGAGACCGACGGAGCACAGCCATAAGTAACCGGATTTGTACTAAACGGCCCTCGATTTGCGAGTGCATGGACGACACGATTTGTCTGGAATCCCCAGTACGTTTCCTTGTATATCTCGCTCGTTTATTATCAGTAGTACGACTGTCTGCAGGCATGGGGATTTGCCTTTAGGAAAATCTTTGAAAGACCACGAATTGATATCAGTTGGAAGTTCTAGTCTGGCGTTGTCTGGTGCCTTAGGCTATCTGGCCTAGCCTGATGCGTGCTTTGACGAAATGGTCAGCATGATGTATGACGTCATAAGGGTGTCAAACATCACGTCAACCCCTAAATTCCTGGAATGCGTGGTTCAATCAAAATCATATCAAATCAATTAATCCACAGTGACAATGCATTTACGTGCATGACCCGTTCCCCCTTAACTACTTTTAGATAAATAAACAATGTGTGGGGGTGTTTTTTGTGTATACCAAGGCAGTGGCGTTTCTTTTCACAACTGCCAATTTGTTCAACTATAAACGACAAAATACCCCGCTTGTAATTCATTTTGTGCATACACATCACGGCCACGTGGGTGATGGCGGGTTTCACATATTTTTCTTCACGAAGACTGAGTGAGATACAGTTTGTGAAATTGTAACTAGTGTGTTATTACACGCCCTGCAAAACTAGCTATGTGGAACTAATATTATACAATAACCATCGGTATACGGGAGTTGTAATTAAAGTGTTTGTTGGCATCACGTTTGTTTATTTTAAATATTCAATGAATTCTAAAACAGTATACATTCTATTAAATATTTATGTATTTCTGGATTAAAAATCCTGAAAAGCCAAGGACCTCTGCGGAAGTAAATAACGTGATTGGGTGTCCGCCTGACCTTTTGGAAGCCCGACTATCAAAATCCCCTCCTTATACCCAACCAAAATGTAGACCCACGAGAATAAAGAACAACGTATAGAATGAAGGATAATAGTTGACTGGTAATAATTCAATGAAGGCATTGACTATGCTCGGGCAGAGAGTTGGAGGAGAGACGCTTGAGATTGATTGAAACCCTTAGGTGTCACGTTTCCTCAGCTTTCAGGCCCCGAAATCACTCCATTCCTCGCCAATTCTCGCTTGATTGACAGACCAAGCCTACGTCATCGTAGCCTCACCAGACTGTGTTTGAGCTTGGAGTAGTCCGGACTAGTGTTATAAGGCCGAGACATTTTGCAATGAAGTGTCGGATTCTCAGGTTGAGAGAATGAAGAGTCTAAGGGAACGACGGAGCGATATGGGGTGGATTGGATGGTGCGGTTTGGGAGAGAGAGGTCGCGAGAGGGTTGGTTTAGACATGAAGATGTAGTATTGGGAGTTTGCGGATGGATGAGGCACTTGATTATTTTCCTGCTCTGTAATGTCAAGTTGGTTGTGGTGTTCGTCTTGCCTCCCCATATATCTCGAATTTCAAGGCACCTAAAAGGTTAAGGTCTTTATAAATGTGTTCTTAAAATCATGGATTTTCGCAAACATTATCCTCCCTGCGGATTGCCCTATACTAATGTGTTGATCCATAATCGAATGATTCATTTCTCGAGATGATTATGGATCATATAGACATAGATCTCCAATCTTCCATATTGTTTAAATCTGTTTGATTTAGTAAAACAGAAAATGATAGTCGCATCATTTGTTGATGTTAAAAGACAGGGCACATTGTACATCGTGACAGTGGCACTGACCAGTCTACAAATGTCGTCTCGTTAAGTCCTTCAAATGACATGAATTATTTTCACTTGCTTTGTAACAACAAACTGAGGGGGAGTATATATTAAGACAAACTGACAATGAGAGATATATTAAAATAATCATCACAGCTACGTTGGTTTATGTTATGATCGTTTTAATTTTTATTCATTCACATGTTTTCCATTTTATTTACTATTTCATTATTATTTTTCCGCTCTTGGGGAATAGAAACATTTATTTTTGAGCACATCTTCCTCCGATTTCACCCAAACGACACGGATGCTCTCGCAACATCCGATGACAAATGAGCCATACGCCCGGATGGTATCTGTCTCGCTTTATTTAATTTCTGTGACAAATTTTACATTGGTTTTCATTCTCTCTTTTCTGCTCTTGTCCTTGAAACTGAATTTCAGAGGCAAAAGCCTAAAACGTCACCACGATGGTAAAACTAGGAGATCTCACAGCGAGGGGTAGATATACAACTACCAGAGACCAACATACGGAGAGGCAAAGGAAGGTAACTAACCAAGCAGACAGCGATGCGTACCGACGACTTCAAATCATTATTAAACTGCCCTTCTACAGGGTGAGTCGAAAAAAAAAGCGAAACCCAAATTTCGGGACCATTGTTTTAGTAAATTTCTGCATGTAGCACTTTCAAAATCTAGGATATAAAAGCCCAATTCATAAGCTTTCTTTTAGTACAAGAATCAATCAAATCACTCATGTACTTTTCAAGTTACGGAATTTTAAATACAACCACCGTTTTAAACTTCTGTCCACGGATCGCAAGAAGGTAAGTGTTTTTTTCAGCAAAACTAAAACAGATAGGGATGTGTTTGAATTGTTTTGTTTTGCTGAAAAAAAACGCGCATCTTTTTTGTGGTCCGTGGACAGAACTTTAAAACGGTGGTTGTGTTTAAAATTTCGTAACTTGAAAAGTACATAAGTGATTTGAATGATTCTTGTACTAAAAGAAAGTTTATGAATTGGGCTTTCATATCCTAGATTTTGAAAATGCTACATGCAGAACTTCACTAAAGCAATGGTCCCGACATTTGGGTTTCGTTTTTTTTTTACTCATCCTGTAGAACCCATGTAGGCCTACCATAATCAATTCGATTATATCCACAGAGTTGTCAATTTCGAAGGAATAATTTTGAAGACTGAAAACAACTTACGATTCCTGGTGTGAAATCCTCATTTTGTTGAAGGAATTGAATAGCTTGAGCATACTTTTTAACAGCAACAAACACAAAACAGTGTTAATATTAATCAATAGATGATGTATGTTCGCTGTTCGATCTTTCAAAAACATCAAAATCTATTTTATATTTGTTTACTGCTTCATCGTTAATGTTAAGCAAGGAGACAATTCCCCTTTCCCGGAAATTCCAGATTTCTCCAAACAAGATCATGATATGCCAAGTGTTTAATCAACGTGATTCGTGATTAATCAACAGGTAATGAAGTTAATATCCAACCAACGGTCGTGCATTTTGAATTACATCTTTTGAAGCTGTTTGTTGCTCAGATCGAGTGAGTGCACTTTACACATAGAGCAGTAGGTTAGGTGATCCTGCCGGCAGCGGTGTCTGAAGCACATTCGGTGTGGCATTGCTGAGGAGCTTGGCTTTCACTTGATCATGGGTCAAATCTTTCTGTGTCGACAGAAGAATAGCAGCAGCCCTAAAATAAAAAGCAGGATAGATAGACATGTAAAACAACATTAAATCAAACCTCATACGCCTGTAGATGTTTGATAACTTATCTCAGGTACAAGGAATAGTGGGGTTTTCTTCATGCCATTGCCGGCTGGATGGAGAGAACACTTTCAAAAATATTTTCCGAACATTTTTTGGAAACCACTGAAAAAATGACATAAAACTTTCCACAAAGAAACACGCTGATTTTAAGTTTATATTATGAGCAATTACATGCTTCATAATCATCAATTTACATAATTATTCAACGAAAACTGAGTCACCTTGCGGTACTGAAACAAAGTTTTGTTTGACATCAAGCAGTTTGAAGTGAATTATTTGAATAAAGGGCGGGGCTTCATAACTAACAGTACACAAAGGGGCGGGGCTTATTAAAAACAATACAAATTGTTACCTGCAACGATAGGCGTGGCTTCAGAGGTGCCACTCATTGTTTCTACCTTGTAATCGCTGCCAATATACGCCCCGGTGATATCCTTGCCAGGGGCGAAGATATCTACACAACTACCATGGTTGGAGTAGTACCAGCGAGTGTCAGTTTTTGTTGATGCACCGACGGTTATGACCTGCAGGGAATAAAAACACATTCATTCATTCCAATGTAACGTGAAATCGTCTATGATGTTTTATTTTATAGACCATCTATAAATGCGAGGTTGATAAAGCCTGCCATCATTTAAAAAAAAATTAATTTCTCCCTCTAATTATATTCAAATGTCATCCAAATGTTGAAATGAAACAAGTCCCACATTGCTCCCCTTTCAGTCAAATTAAATCTTGCTTTTCAAAGTCTAGACATTTCACTCCGAAGTCACTTTCTTCATTCGACCTCTACAGTAAAAATGTTGTGAGCATTTTCGCGTTTTACGATCGGATTTTTTTACGCCAAATTTTATCCCAGGTGATTGACCAAGTGGACCAACTCTGCACCCATCGGTTTGTACATGATCTTTCCCACCGTGAATCCCATTGGTGGATATCAGTCACGTGATGGCAAGTTTCAGCCAATGAAACCCATGGAACAATGCACCTTGTACCAGTAGTTCATGCAAGCATATAGGCCTACCCGTTTGAAGTTTGCAGGGTAATCCTGGCAGGCGTCGATGTTCGAATTCCCGGCAGCCACTGCTACCGTGAATCCTTTATCCATGGTGCTTACGACGGCGTCCTCCAGTACCTGGTTCGTGCCACCTTCACCCAATGAGATGGATGCCACAGCGGGCTTGACTGCCGTCTGTGTCATGATGTCAAGGGCTGCCATAATCACAATGATTATATTGATGTCATGATCTCATCCTTACATTATTAAAACAATATGACCGCATTCAAAATGTTGATAAAAGGTCTTGTATAGGAAAGGTACGTGGGTAACGAACGATTGTTTCTAAAACTAAAGCCATTTTTTTCACGATACTAAACTTCTACTTCTATGCAGCTACTCGTTTACAGCCTTTGCAGCAACTTAACGAGGACTGTGGTGTGCTGTCTCAAATGGTGGACACTTGTGCAAGGTGCTCTGATACCTGTTTATACAAAGTTGGTGCAAGTAAAAAGTCAGCTCCTATGATCTAGGCGCTGATGGCTCCCTTGAACTGCTCCACAGTGGGCAGCTCAATGATGTCTTGGGGGAGCGCATCCCAGTCCCGCAAAGTTCTTGGAAAGAAGCTTTGCCTGTAGTTGTCAGAACGGGAGCTGAGTCGCATGAATCTGTGTTGATGTCGTTGCCGTGTTGTACGGAGTCATGGTTGGATGTAAAACCATCCCTCACCTGTACACAGACGCATCCGGTAGTGTTGGATCGTGGAAACTATCGCTAAGACGGCCTTGAAATATCAATTATCACTACTTCTTCTTTTACTCTTTTAACTTAAAACGACCGTATTTCTTTAAACCACATGAAATGTCCTTAACCCCCTTTGTGAGACCGCCGCAAGGCACCTTACCAGACTGATAACAACCCGTGTTAGCTCAACCTTAAAGAGATCTGACCAGGTACCTAACCCGTTATAACTCACCGTTCATCAGCTATATAACCCGTTTGATAACTCCCCCTTCGTGGGAGCTGACTGTGCACTTAACCTAATAGATCACTCATCCTTTAGGAGAGCTGACCAGGTGCCTATTAACCATTAGATAACTCGCTCTATGCAAGGGCGGATCAAGAACACAATTTTTTGGGGGCCCAAAAAATTGTTGGTTCCCCAAAAAGTGGGTCCAAAAAAATACGGCGTAGGGTTCGGGGCGCGGCCCGCTTAAGGGCTCCGAATGTTTTATTTTTTTTGGATTCTATATACTCTATGCCAAACTGAGGCATTTTCTGGCCACTTTGACAGCTTTTTTTGAGGAAAAGATGGTGGTGTACGCCGTGCCTGCCTTTATTGCGACGTCACTTAAAAACAAATGAATTTGGTTCGGGTTTTTTTTTTTGGGGGGGGGCATGGCCCGTCCCCCCCCCCCCCCCCCCGGATCTGCCCTTGGCTCCATGAGAGCTGACCAGGTGCCTAAACCCATTAGATAACTCATCCTTCTTGTGACCTGACCAAGTACCTACTACCTGTCGGACAATTTACCATTCATTCATGAGAGTTGACCGGGTACCTATAAACCGTCATTACCCTCCACGAGAGAGCTGGTCAGGTACCCAACCCATTTCAAAAACTCACCCTTCATGAGAGCCGCCCAGGTACCAAGAGCACGATATTGCGAGATGACTTTGCCCACCACAATATTAGCCTGATTGGCCGCTCCGTAGACATTGCCTGCAGCCACAGAAGTACACAACGTACCATGGCCCCATGGATCATCACCCTGAAAATGGCACAGAACAATCGAAATTCACATAAATACGTTATTTTAAAAAAATCAATATAAAGGAGGAGGTTAGGCCTACATTGTGACGCCCCAACTATATCATCGGTCTCAACTTAAAGGGTTCATAAAGTGAATTTGATTTTGTGGAACTTTCTACTCCTCTTTGTATAAAAACGATTTGACATCACTTTTTTTCGGTTAATTTGATTGAAAAGTGCACTTCTTTAAACATTTAAAAGCTTCCATGCTTTTCTGGACAACTGAGGGCGCTGTTGCTGTGATGTCATTTCAGGAAGACACTATTTGCTGTTCACAGTAAACCCCAAAATTTGTTCATTTAAAAACAATTGTGAGAAAAGTTTGCTAATTGGCGTACTGCATGAACTGACACAACAACGAATCGACAAAGACAGTTGGGACCGTCCCAACTCAAAGGGCCCATGTAATGTATTTTTTTTTAAATGTTATCCGTGCAAAATGCACTTTTGTGTCCCATTTAGCCCGGTTTTCAATTTTTGTGTTGCCATTTTCATGGTACCTTTTGTTTTTTATGCTAAATTAAATGCAAATTTTCATATTCATGAGCAGAATTGAGGTTCCATTTCAGACAGAAACCCAAATGTCGGGATGGTCCCAAGTTCAGTTTGGGACGGTCCCAGCTTTAGCTAACTTAAGGGACCGTCCCAGCTTCAGTTTTCCAGTTGGATCCACGTCGGTATGAATCGCACCCTCAAAATGGCGGCAAAACAGCGTCCCCATTAGCTCAATTATGACCCATTGGTGTGGCATCATTAACACTAGCAAACTCCACACCTTCTCATGATTTAATCCTGATCCAAACTTACGTTATTGCCATCAACGTCGTAGGCGATTCTGACCGACCTTCCGCTGAATTCCTGGTGAGTGGCCCGGATGCCGGTATCGAAGACCCAAATTTCCACATTTTGACCATGGTCTTTCAAAACAAAACAAAACAGGCATATAATTATCAATGTTTTTCACTTGCGAAACCAGAGAAATCAAGGGTGTAACTTTTCATGCGGTGGCGGTGTTTCTTTGTTACTGACCTTAGATCTATTCTTCAATTCGAGAGGAATTATGTCCCTTGCGACTTGGGGGTTGCACAAATTATGACAGCAGAACTGACGATTGTGATTTCTTGTGATTCCTGATTTCTACCCACTTTGCGACTTTGTGGAGGCCCGGGGAAAACTTCCCGGCTATACCTTTTAAACACGGAGTGGTTTGTTGGCAATTTTTTTGTCGAATACCCTCCTCCCCCTTTTAAATTGGTCTAGCGACGCCCGTGCGTCGGATACCTATCAATAAATTATCGTGTACACCTTTGGACACCGTCTTATTGCACGAATTGTAGCGATAGCTCAGAAACTGCCACCATTTTCTCATAAACCTCTCTGGAGGTGAGATACTGCTTTATAGGGCAATAAATTTGACATACAAATATAATATTTTAGTTAATTATTAAGTCACAATCAGTATTGGGCATTACTTGGAGGATTGTACTGCCCATCCAGCGGGAGATTTCTCTGGTCGATGCGGTCTAGCGCCCACTGACCCGTTGAGCCGCGCTGGTCCAACCGATGAACACGCTGTCCGCTGCTAAACAGCTTAGGTAGTCGTATCACACCATTCTCAGAGACATACTCGACCTCTTCAAGAGTGCGTATCTATTGTGAGTTCAAAAACGTGTTTTACCAATAATGTATTCCCTTCAATTTAAATTTAAAAAACACACACAATAAACTGCCAGTCTTGTTAATTAGGTTTAGGCTTTAAAACAGTGTCAGGCGTGACTTTTATAACCCGACTGATTACGTCATCGCAAAGTGAACCATACGGGTTGCTGGTTTCCATTTTTCCCCCAGAAAGCTTTACAGTTTCAATATAAATCGAGCTTGACTGCCATGACGAAAAGGAAGCGTTGCCGTCAGACCCTTTTTTATACTATTACCTAATAAGTTCTTGTGGTGGCGGCAGTGGTAACCAATTCAACTTACGTAATGCAAGGCTTTCCCTGATAACTTGGCAGCGAAGCCGTTGAGTACATCAGTGAACGTTTCCTGCATGATGACCTCATTCGGTTGAATGTCGAAGTCTCGCGTTAGTTCATCAATCACGTGGTCGATGTTGACGCCACCCTAAGACGTGAGAACAAAAGAAAACAAAACAAGATGTTACCGGCGAGTCTGGCGTTGCTCGGCTAGCTAGACTGAAACAGTCCCCAACCCCTTTTAAAATCGTGCTTTGAAATAAAAAAAAAATACAATTGCCTTAGTGCTCCCTTGAAAAATTGATGTTTTTTGTTTTTAATGCAGTTATGACCCGAGTCGAGTCGTACAGGACAGGTTGTACCCGAGATCATACGGCTGTCGACTTGACCAGCTGCAGCTAAATGAGAACGACTAGACAGACTGGTTTGTTTGGTTACGGCTAGGACAATGTCTTGCCTTAATGAGTTTATAGCTTTTGTGTAAGGCTGCTAGCTTGATAAAGGCTCAGACTTACCTTGAGTTTAATGATGTAGCTGTCAGGTATGGCTGTCTTTGCACGATGCAGTGGTACTTGCTCGGCAAAGCAAGATGCAACCAGCGAGACACAAAACACCAAGTACATAAACATGATGAATCTAAAAATTAAAACGGACATCGTATATTGAGAATTAAGATGTTTGAAATGTCACCCGGGCTCACCGATCAACTGTAGCTA